TATTTTTTACCCCCCCTCCTCTTCATCCACCCCCCAGACCAAGTCATACCCATCGAGACCAAGAATGAATGCTTGGAGTCAAAAGATATTTAAATTAGCTTTTATTTGATACCTATATCAAAAAAACATATTTTTTACCCCGCCCCCCCCCTTCATCCACCCCCAGACCAGGTCACACCCATCAAGGCCAAGAATAAATGCTTTCAGGCAAAAGAAATGTAAATTAGCTTTTATTTGATACCCATATCGATTTTTATGTTTATAAAAATATTCCTGACCCCCCAAGACCTAGACCCACCCGCTTAAAGTGATTATTATTATTACAATAAAAAAATATTTTAATTACCTTTTATTTGATACCCATATCAAAAAAACTATATTTTTTACCCCCCCCTCTTCATCCACCCCCCAGACCAAGTCATACCCATCGAGACCAAGAATGAATGCTTGGAGTCAAAAGATATTTAAATTAGCTTTTATTTGATACCCATATCAAAAAAACATATTTTTTACCCCCCCCCTCTTCATCCACCCCTCAGACCAAGTCATACCCATCGAGACCAAGAATAAATGCTTGAAGTCAAAAGATATTTAAATTAGCTTTTATTTGATACCCATATCAAAAAAACATATTTTTTACCCCGCCCCCCCTTCATCCACCCCCAGACCAGGTCACACCCATCAAGGCCAAGAATAAATGCTTTCAGGCAAAAGAAATTTAAATTAGCTTTTATTTGACACCCATATCGATTTTTATGTTTATAAAAATATTCCTGACCCCCCAAGACCTAGACCCACCCGCTTAAAGTGATTATTAGTATTACAATAAAAAAATATTTTTATTACCTTTTATTTGATACCCATATCAAAAAAACTATATTTTTTACCCTCCCCCCCTCTCTTCATCCACCCCCCAGACCAAGTCATACCCATCGAGACCAAGAATGAATGCTTAGAGTCAAAAGATATTTAAATTACCTTTTTTTGATACCCATATCAAAAAAACTATTTTTTAACCCCACCCTCCTCTATCCGCCCCCCCCCAAGACCAAGTCATAACCCATCAAAAGAATGAATGCTTTCAGTCAAAAGATATTTAAATTAGCTTTTGTTTGATACCCATATCGATATTTTATGTTTATAAAAATATTCCTGACCCCCCAGACCTAGACTCGCCCATTACGGCGGAGAGATTGACCTCCAGTTGAATATATCTTTTTATTAGCTCTCGATTGATACCCTATGTTAGACCTAACTTATTTCATAAGACCAATAAAACAACATTGAAAATTTATAAATAACAATAAAATTAAAAAGAAATAAAACGAAACGCGCGTAAAACGCTTTTTAAAATAAGATTCCTCTTTATCACGGTAAAACGTGATAATACCGTATTATCATTCCTTAACTTAAAACCCTAAATTTTTAGTTATCCCTTTAAAACCCATGAAGATCCCGGATAGTCATGATCCCTTTAAAATTTACGACATATATATTCTGTTGCCTTAAGATATATAACTGAACTTTTAAATATAAATTATTTAAGTATATAATAAAATAATAGCGTGCAATAGCGCACATGCGCACATGCAACATACACTCCCTCCAAAAAAATATAAAAAAATGAATATTGAAATGTAAAGTGAAAGAAACTACAATTTATAGGGAATAAACACTCGCTTGACATGCGGGAGGTAACTCATATAATGTTACACGCGTAATAATGTTAAAATTTCATGTCACAATAATGATATCAAAATATTACTCTATATTAAGATTAACAAGGAATTATATAACAAATCATATAAATATGGGGATAGTAGGAACTACAATTGGGAAGGGGAAATTATTGTCATTATTTCCTTTTTTTGGAATATAATAAACAATTACAATTGGGAAGGGGGATTATTGTCATTATTTCCTTTTTTTGGAATATAATAAACAATTATAATTGGGAAGGGGAATTATTGTCATTATTTCCTCTTTTTGGAATATAATAAACAATTACAATTGGTAAGGGGAATTATTGTCATTATTTCTTTTTTTTGGAATATAATAAACAATTACAATTGGGAAGGGGAATTATTTTCAAAATTAACAATGTAACTTATTAATCAAAATTATCACAACTAGGAAAGATATGTATGATGCGTTAATATTTGTAACCAACAATATATAAGTAAAAATATAATGCAATATATTCCTATTAATTATTTCTAATGTGATCAATATGAACAAAGAGAAACTTATCAACTACCTGTTTCCCAAATGACGTTACTAATTCTCCCAATGACAATCCCCACACGCCATTCTTGATTGGAGCCCATTTTGACAAAAACAGAATTGCCAAATGTTAATTATCTGAACTTTATTCTTTTAATTTTAGGTCGCAAATCACAGTCCAGGTGAATTTTTGGTTGTCGAATGAGTGGTATTGCGATAATTCAATAACACTTCTTCCAATAACCTATCATCCCAACCACCTAATTTATAAATCATATCCTTAGCTGAGCGTACCGCTCTTTCAGCCATACCATTTGAAGACGAATGGTATGCAGGAGTAAATATATGTGTTATACCCTTTTTTAATATAAAGTTTTTAAAATAATACGACCTAAAAGCTGGTCCATTATCAGAAACCAACTCTACGGGGTAACCAAATCTAGAAAAAATATTATTTAATACCATGATAGTGGTATTAGATATTTTTAACCTTGATAATCTCAAGCCATCGAGAGTACCCATCAATTATTACTAATCCATAATAATTCTTAATGGGTCCAAAAAAATCAATAAAAATACGATACCAGGGTTTGCTCAGATCTACCCAATGATTATTTCTAACCTTTGGTAATTTTGGAGCATTTACCATACACATATTACACCTAAAAACCATTTCCTTGATGTCTCTTTTAACCCCGGGCCACCAAAAATATCTTTCCATAATATCAATCATCCTAGACAAACCTATATGTCCCTCATGAAGAACATTTAGAATCTCTTTTCTTAGCGATTGGGGAATAACAATCTGCTCTCCCTTAAAAATACAATCATTTTTAATAAACAACAACTTACCTAGCTCCATATATACTTTAATCTGTGTGAAATCTCCCACTTCATTCAAAATAAATTGTTTAACTTTGATAAGTTTTAAATCTTACAAAGTCTCTCTTCTTATCATATCTAAATTATTCAAAATTCTCTGGTCACTTAAATCATTATCAATATTAAAAAAACAAAAAACATCTTTCTTTATTAACCTAGATAAACCATCAGCAATAAATTGATCTTTACCCCTCCTGTAATTAATGTCGAAATCAAACCCGGCTAAACAAAAAGCCCATTTCTGTAGCCTTGGCGACATATTGTAGAGTTTAATCGGATCTGTTCCAAACAAATTAGCTAGAGGTTTATGATCCGTAAAAATTTTAAAATTCCTCCCTACTACATATTCCCTCCATTTCTTAACAGCCACAACAACCGACAATCCTTCTTTCTCAATAAACGAATATCTTTTCTCAGCACCCGTCCATGCTTTTGACATAAACTCAATAGGCCTTTCAAGACCATCCTCTTCAACATGAAATAAAACAGCACCCATACCTTTATTAGAAGCATCAGTAGAAATAAATAAGTTTTTACTTCTTTCATAATGTGCAAGAATTGGTGCATTGCACAATCTTTCTCTACTCTCATCAAAACTAGTTTTTTCCTTAATTCCCCAATAAAAATTTTTACCCTTTTTAAGCTATTCATATAAATTAGATGCCAATTTAGAAAAATTTTCTATGAACCTTGAATAATAATTACGAATGCAATTCTTTCTTACTATTAGGTTCAGTCATGGTACTTATAGGATCAATCTTTTCTTTAATTGGCTGTATACCTTTGTCACTTATCAAATAACCTAAATACTTAATACTCTCTTTTCAAAATTCACTTTTTTTTATATTTCCAATCAGCCCAAACTCCAATATTCTTTCAAACACTTTTTTTAATTTATAAAAATGGTTTAACTTATCCTTATCAAAAATTAATAAATCATCTAAATAATAAATGACCCCCTTAATATCAGCAAATATTTCGTCCATAGTCTTCTGGAAATACGCAGTTGATACTGTAAGCCCAAAAGGTAGTCTATTAAATTGAAAAAGACCCTTGTGTGTGGAGACGGTCAAAAATTTGGAAGTTTCTTTAGATACAGGAATCTGCAGATACGCCGATGAGAAATCTATCTTTGAAAAAAACTTTCCATTACCTACTTTAGCAATTATGTCATTAATCCTTGGAAGTGGATATTCGAACCTTTCTAATTGTGGGTTTACAGTAACTCTAAAGTCAGCACAAACTCTCAACGTATTATCTTTTTTTTAAACTAACACTAATGGAGTGGCCCATTTTGAAAATCTGACAGGCTTAATTACTCCCTGCTGTCGCCATTGTTCTATAGTGTTTTCTAATTCTTCTTCTAACTCGAAGGGAACTCTCCTGGCCTTCACAAATTTTGGCTCAAAGTCATTTTTTAATAAAATGTCTATTTCCAAATTCTTGACTTTTCCAATTCTATCATTAAAAACACAGTCAAATTTCTTAATTAGTTTGTTGATGTCACAACTCTATTCAAAATACCCTTTTTTAGTAAATAACGATTGAATGACATAATTTTTTTTAAAAATTTATCAGTATCTTTGAAAGGATTGTCAAAAGTTAAAAAATTCACTCTATCTCCTATCTCATTCTTTAAATAGTGTTTACATCAACGTTGAATTTGATTATGTCAAATTCTTTAATCCAGTCTTGACCACATAGAGGTGGTCCCTCCCCATCCATATTTAAAAATTTAAATATTTCATTGTATTCAAATATTTAACCTTAATATTCGAGACCTGACCAACGACTGTGATAGGAGAACCCTCATAAGAGAATAATTTCTTAGAACAATTTTCCAACTTAATTTCTTCATAATTCTCCAATTTTTCAAAATCTTTAATTGGCAAGGATTACACCGGAGAACCCGTATCTAGCAAAAAAGAAAAATTAAGATTATTAAGTTGCATATTAATCATAAAATCATTAATAAAATTTATCTTATTCCTTGGCCTCAAATTATATGGCGTTTGTATAATTTCTTGTTTTTTGAAATTGTTGTTGTTGTTGTTGTTATTGTTGTAGTTGTTGTTGTTATTGTTAGCCTTGAAAGTCTGCTTGTTCTCTTTCCAAGACGAATAGCCTTGCCAATCGGTTCTATCCTCTCTTCTCCAAGAATCTTTCTCTAAATATGTTTTATTATTATTAATTTCCAACGATTGAAATTTGACAACAATGTCCTCTATAATATTAATCTCTGTAGTATTTTCTTCTATCAACCTAGTTTTTAGCTTTTCATTACAACAATTCAAAATAAATTGCACCGACAAAAATTCAGGATTGAGCCCCGAACCATACCCTTTCAGTCTATCGAAATACTCTCTGGAAGATTCAAGTCTGTCCGGTTTTGTATTGAACAACTCCAAAATACGCGTGATCTTGTTCTTTTCGACTTTCTTATCTTTCATTTGTTGATATGATAAATTATCAATGTTATCCATGATACTCACAGCCATATCTTTATCCAATGTTTCGAATAATTTATATTTTTTTGTAGCTTCATCTATAATGTTCTCCGCAAGAAATTTCAGATCCAACGTCTTCAACAATACCTTGATCTTTACATCATTCCTATCCGGTGGAAAAGTTCAATTTAGAATAATTTAAATATATCGCCTTTATTTAAAAGTATTACTCCACCATAATGAAAGAGAATTTATAAGGCTTGAATATTTAATCTAGAATGGTTGTTATAGTAAATTGATATTTTATTTATATAATTTAAAAAGAAAGAAATACAAGTTATTATCATACAAGAAAAACAAGTGATTGGAATAAAAATATATGTTTGTTTATATATATATTATGTTGCCTTAAGATATATAACTGAACTTTTAAATATAAATTATTTAAGTATATAATAGTTTAACTGACATTTTAAATATAAATTATTTTAGTAAGTAATAAAATAATAGCGTACAATAGCGCACATGCGCACATGCAACAGTATACGTATCAAATTTAGGTCGTTATAAGTACTAAGACTGTGTCTTAAGTAAATACTTAATAGCCGGCTTTTAAGTATAGGCTTAATAGCCAAAAAAGTAAGAAGAAATTAAGATGTAGGAAGAAATTAAGATTTCAAGCATGCCATTCATAAATTTTTTAAATAACAAATGTGAATACAGTTTAAACTTATTTATATGAGCAAACATGTAAATATACCGTGGAGTAATAGCCATTCTTTCTTGATTGAATTTTATACATCTTATAGATATATCGTCGTGCTAGAATTGGAGTGCTCCATTCGACATTTTCAAAATTTTTGAGTTAGAAGTGGATAATAACTTATTTATTCCTAATATATATAAAAATAAAAACTAGATTAAAAAATATTAATTTTTTCCAAAGTTATAGCTCTGTCAATTTTGCTCTATTTGCATATAACGATGTAATTTTTGCTTCATATGCATGCCTATCATATTATCTTATTTAATCACGTGTTGTATTTCCCTCCTTTTTTAATTTTTTGCTTTCTATATTAAATCGTATAATTTTCATTACATTTATCTCTATTCCTATTTTAATGTCTAGGTAAATTTTATATTATTACATATTATAAATTAAATATTTGAATTATTATGTATTAGTTTGTTAATATAATAAATTTCATTTTTTTTATTTAATCAAGCTGGCAATTTTTATTTTGGATATCTATTTTTATTTAATTTCCACCAGTCTAATGGATTTGTATTATTACAAATTGTGGCTTTATCCACATATTTGCTTATTTCTAAGTTATTATTGTTGTGACTAGGTTTAACCTGATATATTTTATAAAACCCTTAATTTCTAGTTTTAAATAAACATGGAAAAAAAATCATGAAGCATTACCATAAAAACAGGGCTAAGAACCAACTCTCAAAATTTTACTGAATCCAAATTCTTTTTTTAAGCTAGGAATTTATTAGGTGATGTAAATATAAAATTTATTTATTTAATCAAAATAATCTCTGGTAATTTTTGATAATTTTGGATATCTATATTTATTTAATTTCCACCAGTTGGATTTGTATTATTACAAATTGTGGCTTCATCCACATATTTGCTTATTTCTAAGTTATTATTGTTGTGACTAGGTTTAACCTGATATATTTTATAAAACCCTTAATTTCTAGTTTTAAATAAACATGGAAAAAAAATCAGGAAGCATTACTATAAAAACAGGGCTAAGAACCAACTCTCAAAATTTTACTGAATCCAAATTCTGTTTTTAAACTAGGAATTTATTAGGTGATGTAAATATAAAATTTATTTATTTAATCAAAATAATCTTTGGCAATTTTTGATAATATTGGATATCTATTTTTATTTAATTTACACTAGTCTAATGGATTTGTATTATTAAAAATTGTGGCTTCATCCCATATTTGCTTATTTCTAAATTATTATTGTTGTGACTAGGTTTAACCTGATATATTTTATAAAACCCTTAATTTCTAGTTTTAAATAAACATGGAAAAAAAATCATGTAGCATTACCATAAAAACAGGGCTAAGAACCAACTCTCAAAATTTTACTGAATCCAAATTCTTTTTTTAAACTAGGAATTTATTAGGTGATGTAAATATAAAATTTATTTATTTAATCAAGATAATCTCTGGCAATTTTTGATAATATTGGATATTTATTTTTATTTAATTTCCACCAGTCTAATGGATTTGTATTATTACAAATTGTGGCTTCATCCACATATTTTCTTATTTCTAAGTTATTATTGTTGTGACTAGGTTTAACCTGATATATTTTATAAAACCCTTAATTTCTAGTTTTAAATAAACATGGAAAAAAAATCATAAAGCATTACCATAAAAACAGGGCTAAGAATTAACTCTCAATTTTACTGAATTACCTTTCTCATAATTTAAATAAAGATTACATAAAATTAAACTTGATTAAATAATTGTTTAACATGTATCACAATTTTTTAATATTTCTAGAAGCATAGCAAATGAAAGAAAAAGACTAAGGGAATGTGGTGAGGCCTACATCAATATCAAAGTAATTGAAAAGAGCAAGTTCAGAATGATCATTCCAATAAATGTAGATTTCAGTGTCATCTAAAAGTTAATGAAGATTAGAGTAAAATTATTCATGAGGTTTTTTGGAGCTTAGCTGATGAAGCTAAAGGTTCTTTCTATAGCAAATTTATTGTTAGGACTCCATGTAAAAGAAGGATAAAAGATTTAAATTATAAAAACTATTCATACTTATATTTTTTTGAAGTGGAGAATGTTAAAGTTAGAGTCTGCAAACAATTTTTTTTACAAACACTTGATATTAGTAATAAACAAATTAGTTATTTTTTTAAGCATTTATACCAAAATACTGGAACTTATTTGGCTCCTAGAAAAGGTAAAAATACTAAAAAAGTTATTTCTGATCAAGATAAAGATTTCATCATCGATCACATAAACTCCATTCTAAAGGTCCATTCTCATTACAGGCGAAAAGATTCTTCCAAGGAATACTTTGATGGAAGTCTCAATTTTAAAATACTTTATGATCTATATTCTAAAAAATGTATGTTATCGAGAATTCCTGTTAAGGCGCATTATTATACAACAATATTTAAAAATAGTTTTAATATAGGATTTGCTAAACCAGTAAAAGATAGGTGCGATAAATGTGAGCGGTATTTAAATAATAAAGAATATATGAATGAAGAAGAGATTTGTAACTACAATAAGCACCATGACGATTATTTTGAGACGAGTATTGAAAGAGGTATGGACAGAATCATAGCTAAGTCAAAAATAATTTTAGTCATATCATTTGACCTTCAAAATGTCATAACCTTACCAAGATCTGAGGTTGGATCTTCTTATTATAAAAGAAAATTATCTGTTTATAATGAAACTGCATATTGCAGCCAAGACAAACGTGGTTATTGTGCTATTTGTCATCAAGGCCAAACCGGAAGAACTGGTAATGACATAGCTTGCAGTGTGATAGCATTAAAAGATGCGATATTAAAAAAATTTCCAAATATCCCTCATCTAATTCTGTGGGCTGATTCCTGTGTCGCCCAAAATAAAAATTCTATTATAATTTATGGTTTAAAACATTATTTAGCAAATAACACGACCAGTCAAATCGAAACAATACAAATCAAATATGGTGCTCCAGGCCATTCGATTTTACAAGAGGTAGATTCAATACATAGCCAAATAGAAAGATGCTTAAGAAAAAATGAGATCCATAGCCCTCTAACTCTTTATAGATTAATAAGAGGTACTAATCGCAAAAACCCATTGAGGTAATTGAAATGACTTCAAATAATTATTTCGATTACCATTCAGCTTCGAAAAAATTCAAATTTAACCACATACCGTTCACTAAATTAAAATCAATAAAAATTTCAAAAACGGAACCTTTTTATTTGCAATATAGATTATCGTTTAAATCTAATAATATGATTAAAGAGTCTATTTTACAGGATTCAAAAACACGTAGGCCTAATTTTGACAAAGAATTAGTTACAACAAATTTTTCGCATATTAAATTTATCCCGAAAACGAATGGCAAAATAAACGATGAAACTAAAAAAGATATTAGATCAATTTTAGAGTTCATGCTCAGAGTTGATAGTGAATATATGGAAAATATTATTAATTAAATATTAGATTTATTTTATATCCATTTTTATTAATTGTAAGAATAAATTAGAAAATAAATAAAGATATTGTGTTAATTTATTTATTAAATTTAAAAAAATGGAAATGGAGCATTTATAACATTTTAAAAAAATCATAAAGTGTTATATTTGCTTCACTTGCATTTTGATTTTATCAAATAAATTTTATATTTAAATTTTTTGATTAAAAATTTTTTAGGCTATAATTAACTAACAATATGATAAATTATCTCTGAAATTTTTAATTAAATTGAGCAATAAGTTTTTCCTATATTTGATTTTAAACTTTAATGTTGATTTTCTCATTTTAAACTTTTGCGCAAGTGGAGCACTCCAATTCTAGACCGAAGATATGTTGCATAAATAATGCAATCATATAGAATATAATTAAAGATGGAAATATTCATTCTCATACATTTATAGATTTGTATGTCATTTAATAATTCATTAAATTTTGAAACCATCCTTTATGATGGTGATTCAATATACACATCATTTATTTAAGATATTTCTTGTGGATATGCATAGCCTGCTAGAACAGAGATTAGCGGTAGCAGCTCCATGAAAATTATTTCCTCTATTTTTACGCCACTGAAGAAATAAGTGTATTAGTTATTGTAAACAAAATAAAAATATTTACATAGAAAACAGACGATAAAATTATAAATAGTAAAGAGGATAATATTTATCAGAGACCTGCAGGCCCGGTCCTAAGTCCAACGCGGATTTTAATTTTTTAAATATACTCGGGTCGGGGCTAAGATGTTTTTTAAAATACCAGAGCGGAGCCTGAAAACATTTTTTTTAAAAAATACCCGG